TTGGGGCAAGAGACCCAAAGAAGCAGCATCAGGGGGCCTTAGCTGTGCCGGCACCAACAGCGAGCATTTAGGCTTGCAGGCTCAGCTCGGCCCTGAAGGGATGAAAGGGCAAGCCCCAGGGCAGGGACTCCTCTTGCCTATATCTGAGGATGGTCCTGGGTGCATGGAAAACTCCTGTAATGATTGAAGAATCATGGGGAGACCTCTGTGGCAGAGGCCCCTTTCTCCTGGGACATCTCTATAAACTAGCGCTCAGCACGTGGCGAGGAGATTGCCTGATGCTTCTGCTCTGGGGCAGCCTCCCTGAGAACCAACAGTGCACAGCAAGATTGACCTATACTTTATCTCTGTATTTCTATGGTGATATATGTTTAATTCACCAAATACTGAATTATAATGTTGAATCTGGTTTTCTAATGACTCCTGCCATCCTGTTTAATGTGTCCCAATGGAAAGCCAGTATCATACGGGGAAAGGCTGTGGTTCAGCTTGCTAGAATGCACAGACCCCAAGGGCAGACTTGGCTGAGCATACTTGCTTCTGCAAGTAGATTTTCACAAGACTTGGTGTACAAGCTGCCCCGAGTCGCAGCCCTGAGACCCAGACTATTACAATTCTGAGAGTCCTCTTTTTGTTAGCTTTTGTGCTGAGTCTCCCTATATCCTCCCTCCCCCACCCCCTTCCAAGACAGAATCTAATTCTATTACCTAGGCTGGAGTGCAGTTACCAAGGGGCCCAATCATAGCTCACTGTAACCTTGAATTCCTGGCTTCAAGTGATCCTTCTGCCTCAGCCTCCTGTATAGCTGGGACTACAGGTGCATGCCACCATGCCGGGCTAGATTTATTTTTGTTTGTACAGATGAGGCCTTGCCTACGTTGCCCAGGCTGGTCTCAAACTCTTGGGCTCAAGTGATCCTCTTGTCTTGGCTTCCCAGTGGGATAACAGGTGTGAGCCACTGTGCCTGACCTATCATTTATTTGCAAAATCTGAGGACTAGCCAAGGGGCAGCAGGAAGCCTAAAGTGGGAAGGGAAAGGCTCCTATAGACTATTTGTCTCCTTGAATCTGGGACATGGGAGATTTGGACACGTTAAGTTTTGAGGCCTCTAGTTGGTAGAGACATCAGCCTTGGAAGAGGTTTGTACCATCTACTAAAGAATCAATGATAACATCAAATAAAAACAGAAAAGGGCGCATGGCACAATTCTAACCATGCCCACGGTTCAGATTAACTCTTCAGCATTGGGCTTTCATTGATTGTGCAGAAAATAAATATGACGGCCAAATATTTCACATCCTTACTCGACCTATTATAAATGTCTTTAAAGCAAAGAATGAAAATTAGCTATGGAAGAGGTCAAAAGTCCCTAAGAAGGAAGTAAACTAGAGATTCTGTAAAATTCTCCCAAGGAAATTGAGATAAACAGCAGGGAACCAACAATGGGCTTGGGTCAAGCCCAGGCGAAAGATGGTTCATAAGGGCCTCCCTCAGCAGAAGGGGGCATCACACCTCCCTCACCTGTCCTGAGCTCTCTCTCCCCGCACCATGGGTTGCTGTGGCTGTGGAGATGGGGACAGGAGGGGGAGGGTGTGTGGCTGTGATGGCTGCAGTCCTGCCTATGCTTGAACGGAATTATTCCAGAGGTGTTTCTGATTTCCCTGCCTTTCTGACTACCCTCCTCCCCTACTGGGCAGCAGCTGCCCTGGGGCCAGCAGAGCAGTCAAATACTGGGAAGAAGCATTTCTGCAGATGAGCCTAAAGCCTGCTCTTCTAGCCCTTCCAGCAACCTTGTGCACTTGATTCTCCAGGGACATCGCTTCTCACTTAACACAGCTAGAATTTTGATTTCCTGCAACTGGCTGATCCTGCTATGTTAAATGACCTCTTTGTTGTCAGATCAAGGAGTTCGTCGTCTTCCCGGCACCTAAGTCAATCAACAGAGAAGCGGATGAGTGATCAACAGCCAGCAAAGTGTTGACTAACTATAAATTCAGTCTATAAAATGTTTTAAAGATACAACCACTTAAAGATAAGAAGATATTGTGTAACTTTGTAACCTATGAAAAGGAACCTGTTTACCCTGTACTATGATGAGTAACAACATTACCATGTTTACTGTTACTGTGAGAATAAAAAGTAACAAAGGGAAACAGGAGGGCGGAAGCCATAACCTCCCTGTTCTCTGGAATTGCATGGAATGGGAGGACAGGGGCATCAGTTAGGACTAAGTAAATGATGTGGTGGAGACTGCTAGTTGCCTACCCAAACCCTGTCTCATTCTTCCTTCCAAATTTAAC